CAACGCGCGCAGTTACCAAGGGTATCAGTGCACCGGCGCATGCAAGAGGAGACTACCGAAGTCGGCGTTCCCCGACCCGCACAATGTCCCGCGCGACGCAAAGAAGGGCACTCTGAAGTGCAAGACATGCACATGATGCCCAATCGGGCGCGCGTGCTGGGGAGAAAAAGGAGGACGGGGAGAGAATGATGGGGGGTGAGGCGGAGAATGGGGGGGAGAAGCATCGAAGAGGATGAGGTGAACCGGGGCAGGAAGAGGAGGAGGGGGACGACGAGGAGGTGGCGGAGGAGGAAGAGGAGGGGGGGCGCTGAGATCAGGCTCTGGGTTATGGGATGTGGGGTAGAGGCTTGTGGTATGTGTATGGGGAAGGAGGAGGCAAGGGAGGAGGGGGAGGGGGACGCGGAGACAAGGTGCTGGGTCATGGGTTATGAGTTAGAGGCTTCAAGTATGTGTATAGGGATCTCGCGGCACGCCTCTCGGGGGCTCGAGGAGTGCAGTTTTGAAGCCACTGGGGGGCCGTTTCGGGGCCTCTGGGGGACTTCCACGAAGGCGCTGCAGCGCGTCGGGCAGCGCGCGAATGCTGTGGACAGTGGGGAGGAACAAAGCAGGAGACGGAGATGACGGGGGAGGAGGAGGAGGAGGAGGAGGAAAAGAAAGGGTAGGAGGAAGAGGAGGACGAGGACAAGTGAGGATCTTGTCGTGGATTCTGAGAAGGATATTTCTCGAATGGCCCGAGGCGCGCCCCGCGAATTCCGCTGCCGTGCCGGGGTTCGTGCTGGGATCTCGTGGTCGGCCTCTCGGATACCTCAAGTGGTACCGACCAAGTACCACGCGATGTACGTCGTCCGTGTGCCTCAAATGGTACCGCCCATAGTTTTGAGGCCCTTTGGGGGCTATTTTGGGCCTCTTGGGTGCCTCTTTTGGGCCTCTTGGGGCCTGCTTGGGGGCCTCTTGGGGTTTTTTTGGGGGCCTCTTGGGGGACCTCTTGGGGCTTCCTGGGGGCGCCTGGGGGCCGAAACCTCGAAATGAGATTTGTTTCCCCCCTCTTGGCCCCCTCTTGGGCCCGTCTTGGGGCCCTCTTGGGGCGTCTTCGGCGCCTCTAGGGCCGTCTTGGGGCCATCTTGGGCCGTCTTGGGGCCATCTTGGGGGCCTCTTGAACCGTTTCGGGGCGGTATTCAGGGCCTCGGGGGCCGTGTTGGAGCGTCGGAAAGCCGAAAAGACGAAAAGGCAACAAACACTTTAAAACATAATGGAAATCACCAGTTTTAGCATCTCGGGGCCCTCTTGGGAGGCTTATGTGGGACCTCCGGGGCCGTGTTGGAGGCCTCGGGGCCCGACTTGAGGCCATCTTGGGCGTTTTCGAGCGCCCAATTGGCGTCTCGGGGGCCTCGTGGCCCGTCTTGGAGGCCACTTGGGGCCTTCTGGGCCCGTCTTGGGGCCCTCTTGGGCCCGAAAATGCTCCGTGAGTCGCTCGTGCCGGGCCGGGGGGGGGGGGCCATCAGGGGGGGGTCAAATCGCCGGCTTGGGGGTCCCAGGGGGGGACTAGAGGGGGGGAACTATCTCACACGCCTAGAGACCCACAAGGGGTCGGCGGATTTCTCGTTCGTTTCAGCGGCCTACGTTGGCAGCGTTCGGGCTGCGCTTGGCAAGGCTCGAGATGTTGGTCCTGGGCGAAGGCCCATGAAAGCTGAAGTCTCGGTTAAAGTGGACCGACCCGATCTTGGCACCCTGCTTCGTCTCCGTCGCTTGAAATACTTTGCCCGCGTTGCTGCGCGGGGGTCCCCCCAGCTCCGTCTCTTCCTGGACCTCCTCCCGGAGGGGAGAGATTCGTGGGGACATCTGATTAAGGAAGACTTCGCCTGGGTTCACCACCTGGACGGCAAGGGCGAGGGCCCGCCCCCCCCCCCCCCCCCCCCCTACTTCTCTCGCATCGTCACGGGAGCTTACAATGCCCACAGGAGATGGGGGGCTGACCAATTCAAGCTCGAGGTTTGGAGACGGGCCCTTTACAACATGCGCTTGGGCAACCAAGTGCCCCCTCCCCCTTCTTGCATTGAGGCTTCCCCCGAAGTCTGTTACGTTTGCTACGATTGTGGTCACGTTTCGGCTACGATAGGTGCGTGGCGCAAGCACCGCTTGCAGGCACATCCAGAGACCGACCTCGCGCTGAAGTTTGTCGTCGGCGCCAACTGCCAGCACTGCCTCAACCATTTCCATACCCGTAATCGTTTAGTGCGGCATCTTAAACATGGTAGAATTGCGCGCTTCAAGGCCTGGGTTTCGTTCTTCCCGCCCGCTAGCCCAGAGCAGATCCAGCAAAAGCGTGAGACTAAAACCATGAAGAAGCGTGGTCTCAGATCGGAGAAGGCGTCGATCCCTAAGTTCAGGTTCCATGGCCCTCCTATTCCCCCCGGCCCGCCTGGGGTTCTGGAGGAGCTAGTGCCCCCCGACCCTCCGCCTGCTCCGGTGTTGGTTGAGACTCCCTTCGTGTTCGATTCCCTGAACATTCCCAGCCCCGTCGGGGGCACGCGCTATGCGCTTCACTTATTTAGTGGCCAGAGGCGCCGGGGGGATGTACAGTTCTACCTTGATGGGCTCGTGCACCAGTCACCCCACCCCCTAGCGATGCTATCTGTTGATATCCAGAACGACAGTGTTGCGGGCAATTTGATGGACCCTAAGGCCGTTCAGACTTTTTTAGCTATGATCCGTGATGGGTTTGCCGTAGGTGTGCTCGCTGGTCCACCTTGTGAAAGTTGGTGTGCGGTTCGGAGGTTTGAGCTGCCCGATGGTGGACCCCGTTTAATTCGTTCCGTAGCCTACTTGCGGGGGATCCCCCAGGCCAATACCCGTGAGTGGGCCCAGCTGGACCTCGGCAGTGGCCTCTTGAGGACCTCCGTTTTGTTGATGTACGCCTGTTATATTTATGGCGCCGCGGGCATCCAGGAGCACCCCGCCCCTCCCCCCGATCCCCTGCTTCCGAGTTCCTGGTTTGTTTCTGAGGTGTCTGATCTGCGGACGCTCCCTCAAGGTAAAAGCACGGTCGACTTCGTTTGGGTTGATCAGTGCTGTTTTGAGGCGCCCAGTGTCAAACCTACGGTTTTCCTCGTATTTAATCAGCCTCACTTTCGTGAAGCCCTGGCCCAGGCCCCTGGAAGGGGACGTTGCTGCCACCCGCCAGGCTCCCACACTACTCTGATCGGAAAAGACCCTTCAGGGGTATTCAGGACCGCGCCAGCAAAACAATATCCGCCGCCGCTGTGCGAATTCCTGGCCGTCTCGTTGTTTCGCGTGGTTTCCGCAGTGTGCTCCCCAAGCGATGGTGAATTTTCCATTGGTGCCGAGGACGCCATCGATGAAGGCGCACGTGCTTTCTATAATCCTTGGGACCCCTTCTTTGACGGGCACAGTTGGAACTGTTTCGGATCCGACTGCAAATGGTAGTCACCTTTAACTCGTTCTGTTTTTTCATGTCCTAATTGGGTGCATGTTTTCCCTGCACGCTTAGCGCGTTCTGTGGCAGGTTTCAGTTCAGCTCAGGAAGACGAGGAGGAGGAGGAGGAGGAGGAGCAGGGGGGGAGGAGAAGCAGAAGGAGCAGGAGGAGGAGGAGGAGGATAGGAGGATAGGAAGAGGAGGAGGAGGAGGAGGAGGAGGAGGAGGAGGGGGGGGGAGGAGCAGAAGGCTGAAGGATGAGGAGAGAGGATTAGGATATAAGGAATAAGGAGGAGAGGCGGAAGTGAGGAGGCGGGGGAGGGAAGAGAAAGTCAGGTGACGGCGACGGACGAACGAGCGGGACGGGTGGACGGGATAAACAGGAGGGAAGGCGGAGGAGGAGGAGGAATAGGAAGAGTAGGAGACGAGGAGGAGGAGGAGTAGGAGAGGAGAGGCGGAAGGAAGTAGGAGTACGATGAAGGAACGGGTTAGGGGAGGAGGAGGAGGAGGATAGGAGGATAGGAAGAGGAGGAGGAGGCGGAGGAGGAGGAGGGGGAGGGAAAGAGAAAGGCAGGATGACGGCGACGACGACGAGCGGGACGAGGTGGACGGGATAACAGGAGAAGGAGGAGGAGGAAGAGGAAGAGGAAGAGAGGAGGACGAGGAGGAGGAGGAGGAGGGAGAGGGAGGAGGAGGAGGGGAGGGGGGGGGAGGGGAAGAGGAGGGGAGACGAACACGACGACGACTACGACGACGACGACGACGAGAACGACGACGAGACGAGACGAGGACGACGCCGGCGACGGCGCAGCGCGACCACGACGACGAAGACGACGACGACGACGACGACGACGACGACGACGACGACGAGGGGGGCGCGGGGGGGGACTGGGGACGAGAGGAGGACGGAGGACGGAGGAGGAGGAGGATAGGAGGTGGAGGAGGAGGAGGAGGAGGAGGATGAGGAAGGAGGGACGACGTCGACGGCGACGACGACGACGCCGACGACGACCGACACGACGACGAACGACGAGGGGACGGGGACGGGGGGACCGGGAAAGGAGGGAGGGAGGGGAGGGGATGAGTAGGATGAGGAGAAGAGTAAGTCGGGACTACGGCGACGACGACGAACGAACGGGACGGGGGGCAGTAGAGGAGGAGATAGGAGAGAGCAGGAAGAGGAGGGCGAGGAGGGGGAAGAGAAGGAGGGACGACGGCGACGACGACGACAACGACGACGACGGTGGCAACGACGACACGGGGACGGGGGGGGACGGGGAAAGGGGAAGAAGGAGGAGGGACAAGGAAGAAGGAAGGAAGAAGGAAGGCTAAAGACGGAGAAAGAAGGGCAGGAGGGGAAGGAGGAGCGGGAGGAGGGAGGGGGAGAGAGGAGGGAGGATGGATGAAGGAGGGACGACGACGACGACGACGACGACGACGACGACGACGACGACGACGACGACGACGAGGACGAGGACGGGGACGAGGACTGTGCACACGCTCGGCGCTCCGCGCCGTTCTGCTGCACACGGTGCGGATCGCCTCTCGCCTCCCCCCTGCGGCGGAGGAGCGGCCACGCCCGCGCGGTGGGCGTGGCGGCCTGGCGAGGCCGGGCAGGGGGGGCCGTCGCCCGCCGGGCGCTTCGGGGTAGGGCCTCGCCTTGGGCTCGGCTCGCCTTCTGGCAGGGAACGCCTCCTCCTCCTCCTTCCCCTCCTCCTCCTCCTCCTCCTCCTCCTCCTCCCTCCTCCTCCTCCTCCTCCTCCTCCTCCTCCTCCTCCTCCTCCTCCTCCTACGAGCCCGCCCGCAGAAGCTCGGCGGAACGGGACGGAAGTAGAAGTGAAGCGTTGGCTCTTTGGAGAGCTGCAGGGCCGTAGGAGGTAGAAGCTGGCACCGCAGGGCAGCCCCGGAGCTCGTTCCGGCTTTCGTGAGAACGCTTCGGCGCACCTTGCCTCAAGTTGCAGCGTGGCCCGGCAGGCCTTTTTTCCAAGCGTTTCCCAAGACGTCTGCCCAGAAGCTCTCCTGAAGCTCTTTCGGAAGCTCCTTCCAGGGGCTTCCAGAGCTCCCTCGACAGACCTTTGGACGGCCTTCTGGTGTACTCCGACATTCTAGTTTTGGACTGCACGAGTGAGGCGTCAACATGTCTGGATGCAGGGCTCCTGGAGTCTGCCATGCATACAATGTACATATGTATATACACATGCACATATGGTGCGTAAGTTTCAAGAACAAGGCGACGTGATCAGGCCGCGGCGCACGCCGCTCCAAGCGGCTCCCGTGCCCACATGCGTAAAGTTGGGGCGCGAGCCTGCGTCGATGTCACCCCTCACCGTGCACTGCTGTCTACGATGCTGCTTGCGACTTGCCTACTTTGCAGACCTGGCGAGCCACCTTCAGGCGCTCCAGTGCTGGGATCTTGTTTTCAAGTTCGAAAAACCGTCTTCGGTAGAAGCCGGCGGAAGTAATGCAGCGGCGGGTCCGCCGGCGGAAGATCGGCGGAAAGCGGCGGAAGTAGAAGTGAGATGTCACCATTTGGGGATTCGGAGTTTCTGGAGAAGGCCCTCGCCTTCGGCGCAGCTCGCCTTCGGCGGAGGCTGGCAGATCGACATCGGCGGCGGGGTCTGCCGGCGGAGACAGGCGCGAGGCGGCGAGAGCAAAGTGAGGCGGCAACATGCTTGAGCTCAGGGTGTTGGAGAAGGGCCTCGCCTTCGACGCAATTCGCCTTCGGCCGAGGGCTTGCGGAAGTGGGTCAGCGGCGTGGTCCGCCGGCGGAAGCAGGCGCAGGGCGGTGGAGGCAAAAATGAGACTGTCAATTCCTCCTCCTCCTCCTCCACCTCCTCCTCCACCTCCTCCACCTCCTATCCTCCTATCCTCCTCCTCCTCCTCCTCCTCCTCCTCCTCCTCCTCCTCCTCCTTCTCCTCCTCCTCCTCCTCCTCCTCCTTCTCCTCCTCCTTCTCCTTCTCCTCCTCCTCCTCCCCCTCATTCTTCTCCTCCCCTCCTCCTCTTCCTCATCCTTGCTCCTCCTCCTCCCTCCTCCATCCTCCCTCCTCCCTCCTCCTCCTTCTCCTCCTTCTCCTCCTTCTCCTCCTTCTCCTCGTTCCCTTCTCCCTGCCCCCCTCCTCCTCCCTCCTGTTCCTCCTCGTCCTCCTCCTCCTCCTCATCATCCTCCTTCTCCTCCCTGGTCCTCCTCCTCCTCCTCCTCCTCCTCCTCCTCCTCCCTCCTCTCCTCTCCTCTCTTTCCCCTCCTCCTCCTCCTCCTCCTCCTCCTCCTCCTCCTCCGCCTCCTACTCTCCTCCTCCTTCTCCTCCTCCTCCTCCTCCTTCTCCTCCTCCCTCCTCCTCCTCCCCCTGCTCCGTCTTCCGCTGCTCCCTGCTCCTCATCCTCCTCTTCCTCTTGTTCCTCCTCCTCCTCCTCCTCCTCCTCCTCCTCCTCCTCCCTCCTCCTCCTCCTCCTCCCTCTTCCTCTTCTTCCTCCTCCTCCTCCTCCTCCTCCTCCTCCTGCCCCCTCCTCCTCCTCCTCCTCCTCCTCCCTCCTCCTCCTCCTCCTCCGCCTCCTCCTCCTCCTCCTCCTCCTCCACCTCCTCCTCCCTCCTCCTACCTCCTCTTCACCTCCTATCCTCCTCCGCCTCCTCCTTCTTCTCCTCTTCCTCCTCCTATTCCTCCTCCTCCTCCTCCTCCTCCTCCTCCTCCTCCTCCTCCTCCTCCTCCTCTGCCTCTTCGTCCTCCTCCTCCTCCTCCTCCTCCTCCTCCTCCTCCTCCTCCTCCTCCTCCTGCTCCCTGCTCCCTGCTCCCTCCTCACCCCTCCCTCCTGGGCTAAGGGTTTCCAGAGACGGGCCTCTCCTTCGGCGAAGGTCGTTTTCGGCGGGAGTTGGCGAGAGCAGAGCGGCCACCCTGGCCCGCCGGCGGAGGCGAAGGATTCTTCGATTATTGTTGGGCGAGTGTTCCCAGCCCTCCTTGGTTGGGTATTAGTTTTGATTTGGGCATTGTGGTCACGTCTTCTTCTCCTCCCCCCTCCTCCCGCCTCCCTCTTGCCTCCCTTTGACCTGTGCGTACCTCTTGTGCGTGTTTCTTGCTTGCGGTACCTATTGCGTGCATTTTGCTTGAGGGACTGCGATCTGCGAAATTGTCGCCATTTTCGAGGGTTGCTGGGGGGGCCAGCACAGTGAGCACCCGCGGCGGATTCAAATTTGACCTCGCCATCCCTGGGGGGCTGCGGTCTGCGAAACTGTCGCCACTTTCGAGGGCTGCTGAGGGCGCCAGCATAGTGGGTACCCGCCGAAGACCCACACTAGACCTCGCCATCCCTGGGGGGCTGCGGTCTGCGAAATTGTCGCCACTTTCGAGGGTTGCTGGGAGGGCCAGCATAGAGGGCACCCACCGCGGATCCAAAATAGACTTCGCCATCCCTGGGGGGCTGCGGTTTGCGAAACTGTCGCCACTTTCGAGGGTTGCTGAGAGGGCCAGCATATTGGGTACCTGCCGCAGATCCAAAGCAGACCTCGTCATCCTGGGTGGGGGGGGCTGCGATATTCGAAACTGCCGCCACTTTCGACGGCTGCTGGGGGCGCCAGCATAGTGGGCACCCGCCGCGGATCCAAATTAGACCTCGCCATCCTTGGGGGGCTGCGATATGCGAAACTGCCGCCACGTTCGAAGGCTGCTGGGATGGCCAGCATTGTGGGTACCCGCCGCGGATCCACATTAGCCATTTGGCTCAAGGGCTCAAGTCCCCCGTTATCCGTTTATCCTACCGGACTATCACACGATTCCCTCCACTCTCGTACCACCTCTGTGGGCCGCGATGCTTTCTTCCTTTGCGGGTGCAGGTGGCGACGCGGGCGCCCCAGGTACCCTTGTGCGACAATTGTTCACGAGCGGGTCGAGCAGGACCAAAACGACCTGAGCTACCCGAAGTACATGCTCTGTCCACGCCGCCGCCAAAGAGCGCCCTGAAGCAGGCAAGGCTGCTCAGTCCGACAGCACACATGCACCAAGATACGGCACAACAACGTGAAAGTGATGGTCAACCTCGTGAGTTGGATCTTCTTGGAAACGCCACCTCACCAGGACCAGACGCCACCTCAACATCGACGACGAAGACGACATTGACTTGGAAGACGATGGACCGGTAACCATCAAGGCCATGCAGAATATGCTCAAGACGCACCTTGCACCTACCATGCGGATGGTTCGGACCCTCGGGCACAAGTTCGAGCAACTTCAGGAAACTATCACTTCCGATCTCCGAGACTTCAAGACGATCATCGAAGCAGAAGTGGATGAGCTCAACATCCAGGCTACCAACATGGCAGACGATGTGGCAGCAGTTCGATCTGAAATGACAAGCACGCAGCTCGACCTTCGCAAAGAAACCAATGAGCTCAAAGATGCGTTCCACCACGCGCAGACCACAAGTCCGAGATCAGCAACGCCAACTGCGCAGCCGAGGGGCACGTCGACTGTCTCCCTGGGAGGACTTCCCCAAGATTCTCTTGCCGATGCTGAACACTGGGCGGAACAAGCTCTGGCAGACGCGCGCCTCGTCGCAACGAAAGCTTACAAGAAGGGACCCCCGGACAAGAACTTCAAGGGCATCCTGTTCCTGCAGTTTGACATCATGGGCATGGCACAACAAACTCAAGCGCATCTTCAAGAAGCTACTGCCAGGTCGCGTCAAACCAGGGCCGCCAACAACAGAGTATGGGGCAAACTTGACGCCCCGCTCGAGGCGCGAGTCGCTTCCTCACTATTGCTTGGCTTGCGGCACTTGCTGACGCAGTGGGGATTCGATAAACGCCACATTCCGATAACGGCATCATCAAAGCTGGGGGCGAGAACATCACGCGTGCGACCATTGAGGCGGACTCCTCGAAGATACTCTGGCTGGACGCGGACTGGGAAACCTGGGCCGAGTTCCAGAGCTCACCAGAATGGACGGCCGCCCAACAGAAAGCGAAGGATCGCCTCGCACAAAGCAGAGCTCGCGCGAGCAAAGGCGCCAGCAAAGGCAAGCCAAATTGACGGTGCCAGGGGACAAGGCCCGAGTTTTACTATTCTACATGAACTGATCGCCATTGGGGCGGGCCGGGCAGCGATGCCACCTGCCCTCCGGCGGGCGGGGGCGGTGACAAGTCACGCACGCCTAACGCAACCCATCGCGACCTCAAGTTTGCCACGCGGAACGCACGGGGCCTCGCAGACGTCGGGCTCGGTGAGACTATCCCACACGCGCGGAGGCACGATATCCACATCTCACGCCTGCAGGAGACCCGGGCCACCAAGGCGGAGGAGTACGAGGGCGAGAATAGCGGATACAATGTTTTATTTTCCGGAGCGAACACTGATGAACGGTTTCGGGCAGGAGTTGGAATCACTGCGGCGCCTGCCGCCGTCAGGAGACCAAGGCCCACAAACAGATCCCCGACCGAATGGCTCAATTGAAGCTCCGACTGGGGAAAGAGGTTTTCGTAGCCCATTGCGCGCGCGCCCCCCGCAACCTCCGACCGCTGCCAGAGAGGCTGCATTTTCACAGCGACCTCGACCGACACTTCGGGGCGCGCTCGGCCTACACGCCGACACCACAAGGATGGCCCCGGGCGACCTGAATGCCA